TGTGTGTGTATAGTGCTTTAGCGAGAAATTACAAATGTTAGATGAACTATAGGCTATATATATATATATATATATATATATATATATGAATTATATAAAATTATATATGAGCTATATGGAATTGGCTTAAATAAATAAATTAGATAGATAGATAGATAGATAAAAAATGGAATTGTGGAAAGCCATAGAGCTTTAATTGGGCTAAATATTCAACCCTGATTTGCAACCCATATTTGTGATTAGAACATCAATATAAATATATTACATTGGACAGATAAATGACAAAAAGATGAAATAACATGAAAAAGATTTCAGGATATGGGAAAGAAAACAATGGCAAAAGCACAAAGATAATCACTTGTTGAAACCAGGGAATGCTAGCTAAAATATGCCTTTATTATGGAAAACAGAACAGACAAGCATTTACCAGACAATTGACAATTTGTTTACAATTGAAAAGTTAATGATACAATGTGTTTTGCCTTAAGGATTTCAGTCACAGCTTTTGAATGCGGTCAAAGGATGTTTCATATAACAGCCTGTGGATGAATCATAAGACTAATGTCAATTAATAGCAATTATCAAAGGTCAAATACTGCGACTTTTTAGTTAGGTCAAATTACATGCAAGTAAAAATTTCGGTTATGTTGTGTAATATTAAAATATTGTGTAGCCTATACGTTGACGGTTTATTTTGAATAAACAAGTGTTTTATTTCAAATGCGCATGTACTGCTAAAATACCTACAGACACTGGACACTATACAAATCAGCAGGTCATATTAAAGTACTAACATCATAATGTAACGTGTGTGTGTAGGCCTATGTGTTGTTGTTGCTGTTGTTGTTTTGGGCTATTTAGCGTGTAGAAAATCTCTTTGAAAGAGTTATTCGCTCCATTTATATACACATTTTAAAGTAAAGATAAAATGGCAATATACAAAGACTATTCAAATCATAACTCAGTGTCTTGCATTTGATTGTGTTAAAAGTCGTCTTTGGCGACATTTATCATTATTACAATAATAGCCTAGCAAATGGGCTTTATAACGATGTGAAAACAAATATCCCGTATACATGCATACAAACAAACAAATGAAATTATTATTAATAATAATAGTTAAACGTATTTTAATCAACATTTAATTCAAGCTGCACTTGAACTTGAACTGAGAAAAGACCAATCGGAACTTTCCGCGCTACTAATGACATATTAATGACTGAGTCACAGCGCTGTAGAGCTGACCGCAGTCTTGCTCATACCTGGAAACACTATATAGGCAAGTGGAGGTGTGAGACTGGAAGAAGACCAGGGCGAACAGTTACAGGGCAGCAGGTATCCGGGGTTTGCAGGTGACAGGTGAGTGTGCGCGTACTGACCCGAGCATCCCAGACTCCCGAAGGACCGGTGTCCATTCTGATAGCCAAAAGCTGAAGAGAAAGCCAACGAGCCCGGGGTTAAATCAAGTTTTTCATGTTGAAAAGCAGTGGTAGCAGTGTTAACAGTTGGCCGGCTCGGCTCCATGAAAGGATGTTGCATGGACGCAGCTAAATGAAGGGGTCGAGGTTTGTCCAAATTTGAGATGGCTCGAAGTTCTCGCTCGCCGTGACGCGGTAAAGTCAACAGCGTGTCCTTCCTCAGCAGTCCTTTAGGTTTGCGTCTCGGTCGGTATTTGTAGTCTGGATGCTCTCTCATGTGTTGGGCGCGTAGTCTTTTGGCCTCGTCGATGTAAGGTCTTTTTTCAGACTCGGAGAGCAGCTTCCACTCGGCGCCGAGTCTCTTGCTGATCTCAGAGTTGTGCATCTTTGGGTTCTCCAGTGCCATCTGTCTTCTCTGACCTCGCGACCAGACCATGAACGCGTTCATTGGTCTCTTGATGTGCTCCATGGGCTGCTTCATCATGTTCCTCGAGTTTATTTGCTGCTTTGCGTCACAGAATTAAAATAAAGTTGCTAGAATGCCTGAAAGTATGTTTAAATCATCTGTGGAAAGAGAGGGTTCTTCCTCTGGTGAGGTGAGGTGTTTAAAAAGCAGAATTATTATTTGTTTTGCCACTGAAACTGAAGTGTGTGAGAACGACTGCTTGGTTTGTGAGATGTTTGTTTCAAATCTCTTGAGAGTTTCAAAGAAAGCTTTGCAGCGAGTTGCGCGCTCTGACACATCATCACCTCTCCTGCCCAATCAGCGCGTGAGCGACATAATACAGTTACAATGACACCAGAAAGAGTGATTTCTGCAAAAAGAGAGACTCAATGAAATTAAAATGACTTTAAAGCTGCCTATAAAAGTTTAGGTAAGCCGCTCTCTCAATACACACACTCACACACATACGTTTGTTTCTGTGAATTGTGGGGACTTTCCATAGACTTCTATTACTTTTATACTGACCAAACTATATTTTCTATCCCCTAACCCTAAACCTACCCCTTACAGAATACCTGTTTGCATTGTTACACTTTCAGATAAACATCATTTACTATTTTTTATATATTTTTTTCCCCTCGTAGGGACCACAGGCTGGTCCCCACAATGTCAAAAAAATTCAGGTTTTACTATCCTTGTGGGGACATTTGGGAGACAACAAGTACACACACACACACACACACACACACACACACACACATTTCTTTTTTTTTTTTTGAGATATATTTTAGGATAGTGGAGAGCTGACAGGAAAGCGTTGGGTGAAGAGAGGGGAGCGGGATCGGCAAAGGACCTCGAGACGGGAATCGAACTCGGGTCGCCACTAACCACGAGGCTATCGGCGCCGACCACAATGCACATTTCTTAATATTAAGGCTAAAATGACACTATTTTAACCTTGTTTTAATTTCACTATTGATGAGGATTGTATGATCTTTGAATAATATCGATGTACAAAAGTACAACTGTAGGGTATTTTTATTGTACATAAATATGTAAATGTGTTTGTAGTATACTTAGCATGAAATAAATGCATTTCAAATACATTTTAGTATATTTATTTTCCACTAGCAACAAAGCATGCTAGTCTTCCATTTTGTAGATTTTGAGGCTGTCTCTGTCTCTTCAAATACTCCTAATTGTTGCACAGGTCAGATCACATGGATGCTAGTAAAAGAGCTGCTTGATGTGCTCAGTGATCTGTGTGTACGTCTCTGCACATATGCTAATCATTGCTATTCACTCTGACAGTCAGGCTCAGACATTTATAAGGCTTGAAAGAAAATAAATGCCATAGATTCTACAGCGAATCGAATCATCAAAGAGACGTAAATTACGTGATATTAGTTTGAACGTCTGCCGCTGCGCTGATAATGTACCAAGTACCTATGAGTAGCGATATTGAATATTTGATTGCCAACAGATTTACCAAGCTGTCATTCAAACAGTATATATACAAATTTAGGGAAAACAGCCTAAGCTGGATATACAGCAGTCGGCTTAATTAAATGGCGCAACAGGCAGCTCTCTTTTAACACAGACTTTTAAGAAGGGATGGATGTTTGCTTCAAGTGATAGGCCAGGTAAGTGAAATTATATTATCTTGCTGTATGTATGTCATTTTCTTTACGTTTTCTGACTAAAAGCAACCAAAAAGCCATTTTAAAGTGGTTAAGCAAATAATAATAATAATAATCGGCAGGGATCCCAGACCAATACAATTTGTGTGCCTCCTCTATTTTAAAACCCACGAGCCGCCACTGCCTATGAAAATAACCATGTTTGTGTCTATGCATGTACGTGCTTGAGTGAGCGATTAATACTCTGAAACATGCTGATTGCAATGCATTACAGACTTCACAAATCTGTCCCTGCTGTCTTTGTGTGCGTTTTTAAAGATGTGAGAACTAGGCACTGGTTGTAGTGTGGGTGATTACATCACAATATATAAAATCCCAGAGGCTGTGGGTGTTCTTTGTACTTGACCATCACATGAAGAAATATGACAGGCTTTGACAAGCCTTAATCCGTCATCCTTCAACAGATTACGTTTGTCCCTACTCCATCTGTTCGATTGTGACATGCAAAGAATTCAAATAACATTATTTTTTTCGGTTGGGGCAGGCAAAGCTGGATTTCTAGTCCTTAAGGAGCAGGTCAAGAGTTCAGCGTCTGTGCCGCCTTCATACTATCCAAATAACACAGAGGCTGATGCCACCATTTCATACTCTATGAATCAGTCTTTGAATGACAATACTGGTTATTCTTCGCTGGGTCAAATATGACAGAAGAGATCTGACAATGAGAAAGAAGCACAGCGTTCAAATGTACCCTTGAGTTTTTAATTCCAGAAAGCATGAATAATGTGTTAACTGAAGCCCGGTTTCTGCATGGAAGAAAGAGACAATGATTTAAAAGTCAGCAGCTCTTGTTGAAGGATCATTTCATCAAAAAAAAAAGGGAAATTCCAAACCTATGACTTTCTCTCTTCTGTGGAACATAAAAGATAATATTTGAAGAATGTTTCAGCTGTCCATAGAATGAAAGTCCATGGGTTGGTTTCAAAATCCAAAAAGGACATAAAAAGGTAGCATAGATGTGCAAACTACTTTAATCAAGTTTTCTAAAGCACTATTCACTCTCAAATCAAATCATATCACTGATACATCAATAACATCGAACCTCAATGGTGACATGCAAGGACCTTCAGAGACTTGAATTATATCACCCGGATCACTCGTATACAATTCTAATAAAGGACCGGTTTGAGACAAGTGAGTGATGTAACAAAGACAAGCAAGCAGGATGTGTCAGAACAGCAAATCAATAGCTAGTGACAAATGAAGTATATATGAATGATGCTGAATGATGGATTAGATCTTGAGCATGTCTCTAGGTAGAGTATTTTCTGTGAATGAAAGTAATTGAAATGTTACGTTGTAAATAGCTTCATAATAAGGAAAGAGATAGACATTTGCTGCTCTGCTGCAAGGTAGTTACTGTTGGGCTCATGCCAACTCAGTAGAGATTGACTGATATGGATATAAAGTAATTGAATGAATGGATCGCTGGGTAGCTAGCTATAGTTATCTGGGAAAAGACAGACCTTGAGTGCACAGATATATCCACTTACAGTAGTAGTCTAATAGGATGAAAAGGAAAGCGAAAAAATCTGTCAGTAAACACTTGCGGGAGACTGTGTTATTCAATGTTGAACATGTGACATTGTTACAGTGCCGCTCGCACAGCACAGTCCACTAAGACTTTGTCACCTTTAATAAGGATTTATATGCATAATGCTTCATAAACACCAATGCACTTCATGATCACACACTTTAATTCAATGACAATACAAGTAACTTGTAACAGGACAGTGAATGATTAGGGTATTTAAATGGCTAGTTCACCCAAGTTCTGAAGATGAATGAAGGTTTTTACGGGTTTGGAACAACACGAGGGTGAGTAATTAATGACAGAATTTTCATTTTTGGGTGAACTATCCCTTTAATGAAATTACCACGTAATACAAGTATTAAAATAAAACAAATAACAAAACAATAAAAAGATATATTCACCACAATTTAAAAAAAAATTGCTGTGATCAAAACTTCTCTGATCTTTAAAATTGTTTATACAACATTAGTTCTGCACCATTTCCTGATAGAGTAATTTCTACCTAAAGTATTAATGCCTCTTTGATTTGTGGCCACATCACCACATTGGTTGGGTGTTGTATTTTAATTGTATATTTATATTGGATCAGTGGCACAGCATTGGCACACATGGCTCCATGATTTGGAGCTGGATGCTCTGGAGAAGGTTTGAGTCTGGTCTGTGTCATTTCTGATTTGCATACCTAACCCTCTCTCGATACTTTTCTGACACTCTTCTTTTTCTTATCAATTGAAGACATACATTTTAAGGGATATTTGTGACCCTGGACCACAAAAAAAAGTCATAGGTAGCACAGGTTTATTTGTAGCAATAGCCAACATTACATTGTATGGGTCAAATTTATCGATTTTTCTTTTATGCCAAAAAATCATTAGGATATTAAGTAAAGATCATGTTCCATGAAGACATTTTGTATATCACTGTATATCAAAACTTAATTTTTGATTAGTAATATGCATTGCTATACAACTTTAAAGGTGATTTTCTCAATATTTAGATTTTTGTTTGCACCCTCAGATTCCAGATTTTCAAATAGTTGTATCTCGCCAAATATGGTCCTATCCTAACAAACCATACATCAATTGAAAGCTTATTTATTCAGCTTGTGGATGATATAAATCTCAAAGATTTAAATCAATTTCAAAGAATTGAGCCTTATGACTGGTTTTCTGGTCCAGGGGTCACATTTGTGAATTGAATAAAAGGTGCTAGATTAATTTGTTTATTAAAGTAGTTCTCTGATCTCTCTCCATATTTCCTAAACTTGCCTGCACAGCCTATGTCTTGTCCAGACAGAAGTAAAAATCTCAGCACTGAATAATAAAAAAGAGAGAAAGAGGTCAGCATAATACAAACCTGTACACCATATAAGACATTATGATTGAGAAGACAGATATTAATAGAATTTCATAGTTATTAGAGACGACTAATTATGCACCTGATATCTAATCATGATGCTGTTACACTAATGACCTTAGAAAAGGTAATAGACTTTGGTACAGATGGTTTGGGGAGATAGCACTGCTGAAATTTATACAATGTTGCCAAATTGTTCAAACAAAGATACATTAAAGCATTATGGATCATTTTATTTGATGTTCGTATTCACTATTTAGGTGAATTAATGTTCTGTACTAGAATTATGACAGTAACATTTACACTAATCCTAGATTCAAAATAATTTAAAAACTAGAAAACAAGGAACATAGGGAACATAACTGTGAACCATCCATAAAGGAATGACACAGTAGGCGAAAAACAGGATGTGAACAGAGTAGTATATGTCCAAATTCACAGTATTC